ATATTTACAAATGCTGTTGAATAAATGTTTCTTTCTTATACTTTCCCACATGCATGATGACCAAGGTGTTATATGTGGTAAACACCATAAAAAAATATTGTAAGAGCTGAGATCACTCAATTGGGATAATCAGCTTTAGAATCAACTCGTCCGTGACGGACGAAAAAGTGAATTATATCTGACGTCTTTATAAAATTTAGAATCCAAAATTACGCATAGCAAATGTAACAAATCCAAAACGTTTCAAACTATCAGCTTGAAAAAGCCTAAATTATGACGAACAACATTCTCACTCGTTACAGATCACTGAAACTTATAAGCTCATTGATGCAGAACTTGATTCACGGGAGCAAAAGAGGACGAACGTAATTGGCCAGCACAATATCATTTCAGATGTGTTATTCTTTCCTTATCAGCGAAAAGGCATGCAAATACTATCAAAGCAAACGAGCATTGAACTCACCCTTTCGGGTGACCAGTGTACTTGTCGCACAGGATTGTAACCCGCGCGACTGACCCGCACCCGTGGAAATGTTTTTCCAATTCCTCTGCAGTTACGCTGTAGTCAACCTTTAACAAAAATTATTACAATTCAATGCACAAATATGTATATTTCCCTACTTAACAAAGTCACTCACATTGCCAATATAAACAGAACGCGAATCGGCCTCAGCCTTCTCTTCGGGAGTCATTACAGCAGGACTGCTAGTACCATTGCTACTTCGTGGAAGATTCATTTGACCCTAGAATAAAAACTGAAATGAAGAAAAAAGAAAGTGGGTAACATCCCATCCTACAAATGTTTCCTAAAAATATAACAACCTCAATATCACTTTGCATTTGCTTGATTTTTCTTTGCTCTTCTTCAAATTCCTCCATTTGTTGCTCGATGGAAGAGAGGTCCTATAAATTGAGAACATATAAAACCGGCATTCTTTGCAATGAGATAACATACAGCCATATCTGCGACACTGTTCCCGGTCGTACTGAGAAGATCATCATCATCAAGTTTGATCGAATCTTCCAAATCACCCATCTTTCTAAAAAGTTATTTCAGTAGGAAGCACTATTAGCGGCTATAAAGTACATGGGTGCGGTGAGGACAGAAGACGAGAAATTATTAATGAATTCTCGTTTTGTGCTAAAGAGAGGGTGAGGAAAGAGTGCAATCTATAAGTTTGATGTTTTCTTCCAAGAAATGCGCTACTTGATTCAATGCTTAATCAATATTGTTCAGCAACTGCGCGAGCACTAGTTCGAAGGCAAACGAGAACAAAAACCAGGTACAACTAAATGCAAACTCTAGTATAAAGCAGGATCTGCCGTTGGAGTCTCTGGTGGTAAAAGATGTGAATTCATTCCTTTTCTTCAAAAGAGTAAGCATTCGAAGAAAAAAAACCCCGATGGAAGAAAAGAACCGATTCATAACGCTCGCAACGACATCGACCAGCCGACCCATCTAGTTTCGTCGGACGCTCCCTCGCATTGTCTCGCGAGCAGATTTCTGCGTTGAAGCACAGCAGTTGACGTCAGAAGACGTTTCGCGCCCTTACCATATCATGTCTACTTTGTTTTTAGACTAGTTGGTACGGCAAGAAGATGGTATTCCACTTCTTTTCTGTTCTTGAGGCTTAATCCTCTGTAAATAGCTGCCAATTTTCTGCGAGTTGCTCTTGGGGCAGTCCATTTGCTTACGAACCTAATTTGGATTCTTTTTTT